TTGAATGGTAAAAAACTGAATGGTAAACAAGTTAAAAAAACTGAATGGTAAGTGGGCTACCGTTTTCCCACGAAGAGAACATAAAAAGAAAAAAAAACGCATATTATTATATCATCAAAAAAAAAAACGCAAAAAAAACGCATATTATTATTATCTTTAGACTGAAAGTTGGCCCAAATGCAGCTATACGAGGTCATTGGGTGAGACTGCGGTGTTAGACTTTTTTTTTACTTTTTTTTTTCTATTTTTATTGCAGTTATGAAGCCTGTGAAAAAATGTGCGGTTGATGTTTTTTGGCATTCGTGATAATTCCAGTGGGGATATTTTTGGCGTGTTTCAAGGTTTTGGTCTATTGCAGTGGTCATCAATTGTGGTGGTGATATTGTTTTTGGCTTTTTGGTTAATGACAGCGGTTATGATCTGTGTCACTGAAAGAGGGCAGTGCAGCGTGCTGCTGGGCCTGTGCTGATGCCAGATCTCTTTGTGGGAGAGGAAGGTGAGAATAGCCGAGAAGTCGTTTGCACAAGTCAGTTGGTAAAGTTCTCTGTCTATTCTCTGTCCTTTGTCTATCCTTTCCCTCCTCTGTTCCTCCTCTGTTGCTCCTCTGTTGCTCCTCTGTCCCCTTCTCTCCCTCCCGTCTCCCTTCTCTCTCCCTTATCTCTGTCACTTCTGTGTCCCTTCCCTGTCCCGTCTCTGTCCCGTCTCTGTCCCTTCTCTGTCCCTGCTCTGTTCCTTCTCTGTTCCTTCTCTCTTCTCTGTGCCTTGTTTGTCTCCCGACTCTCTTCACCCTTTGTGTTTCTCTCAATGACACAAGGCAGTTGCTGACATTGGATGGTGTGGGGAAGACGAGGGAGGGGGGAGGGTAGGAATGGGTATGGATTCAGTGTTAGCAAGGCCAGAAGATCGTAGGCTGCAGTGTTAGGGGGTTGTCAGGGGTAGAAGGGGGTAGAGGCTACGATGTGAGGGGGGTGTCGAGGTAGAAGAGGGTAGAGACTACAGGGCAGGCTACAGTGTTAGGGGGTTGTTGAGGGTAGAAGGGGTTGGAGGCTATGGTGCGAGGGAGGTATGGGGGGTAGAAGAGGGTAGAGGCTACAGGCAAGGCTGCACTGTTGGGGTGTTGTCGGGGTAGAAGGGGGTAGAGGCAACAATGTGAGGCTGGTGTCGGTGGTAGAATAGCGTAGAGGCTGCAGAATGAGGGTGTGGTTGGTCGTAAAAGAGAGTAGAGGCTAGACTGTTGGGGACTGAGGTAGCCTGCGGCATGAGGAGGAAGGAATTGTACAGGTGGTTCTTATCAGAGGAGGGGAGGCTGCGATGTGAAGGGTTGTCGGGGATTGATGTGAGGCGTGGGGGTGGTGGGGGGTTCGAAGAGGGTAGGCTGCAGTGTGCGGGGGTGGCGGACTGTAGAAGAGGGTAGGCTGCAGTTTGACGGGTCCTCGGGGTGAGTGCAGTGACATGTCGAGAACCTGGTCGGCGACACTGGACGTGGAAGGGACGCCGGACCTGGTCGGTTATGCCGGACTGAGACGGGGCTTAGCTTAGGTGTAGAAATGAGTTGCGTATACGAGTCTCATTGGGAGGAAAGGATGTACTGAAAAGCAAAGGGCATTTTTCCTGGGTAGCCGGGTTGGATGTCCGGCAGGGTGGTCCCAGGGCTGTGTCCGAGTCCGGATTTGGAAGCCTCGGCGAAACAGCCAACCGGATGATATGTTTGTCACAGAGTCCAGGACCAGTACTTTCTAAATCATCTTCCAGAACACTCCAGACAAGAAACTATGTTGATTGTGCAACATCGGAATACCAAAAGTTGAAGAAACGTTTTTTTCCCTTTTTTTCCCTTTTTCAGAAACAACTTTTGGTCTGGGGTTTGCCCCAAAATGCCTTGCCGATTCCTCGAGTTATGCGTGCCATTCTTGAATGCGCAGGGGCCATGCTAATCTTCTCTGTATCATGTCAATTTTAACCGATCTCAACAAGCTTTATGTTCCGTTGTCATCTGCAATCTTCGGCACAGAATGGTGAGCATCGCTCTGCAGGGGCCTTCGTCATGGAGGTCGGCGAAGCATCCGTTAGGGAGTAGTGCAGATTGAGGGAGATGCTTACCCTAAAACGCGAGGAGGTGGGTGGGTTTTGCAGGGGCCGTATTGGCCCCTGCCATGCCGTCACGGAGGGCGGCTAAGCATCCGTTAGGGAGTAGGTTCAGATTGATGGAGAGGCTAACCGTAAAACATAGAGGTGGGTAAGTTTTGCGGGGCATATTGGCCCCTGCCGCGCTGTCATGGAGGGCGGCGAAGCATATCCGCTAGGGACTAGGTGCAGATTGAGGGAGAGGCTTACCCTAAAACGCGAGGAGGTGGGTGGGTTTTGCTTGCGGCACGGAAGGTAGGGTATTCCCCTGGGTTGCAAAAACAACATCGTTGTCGGAGTCAGTGTTTTTGCTAATGGAGAGTGTGCGGAAGGGTTATCTGCTCTAGTCGTGAGGAGGTGGGTGGGTGTTGCAGTCTTTGTCTGCAGTTGGGGGTCTGTGGGCACAGACCCCTGCCGTGCGTGTGGGTGGGTTGGCAGGGGTCTGTGCCCACAGACCCCCAACTGCAGGGGTTGGTGGTAATTTTGGATGAAAATAGGAGACATAAAAATGATTGTGTAATGTTTTGGCTGTGTTTCCTTTTTTTGTGATTTTTCTGCGACGTGGGGTTCTGGGGTTCATGGTGAGCGGTGGTCCCCACAGAACTTTTATATTACAATGCCAGGAATTGGGCCTCGCGTCCCTCCCGAACATTCCGTGGTCCGGTTTTTGGGCTTGGCGGATGATGTCTCGCCCATAAACAGGACCGCAAAATTTTTGTGAGGGATGCAAGGCCCGATTCTTGGGATCGCAATATAAGGAATGGCAGGCCCGGTTTGTGACTTTGGTAAAAAAAAAAAAAAAAAAAAAAAAAAAAAAACCTTACGAAATTTGTGATGAAAAGAAAAAGTAGATGCACCCGTAAATCGAGAAATGGTCCCAAGTTTTTAGTTGAATTTGTGAGCAAGGACGAAAAAAAAGGGGGGGGAAAAAAGATGCACCTAGGTAGCATGACGTATGTGTATGTGAAACCCATGTACACGATACACGGGTGGCCGTACGCAATGCGTACCCGCGCACGGAACACTTACTCCATACGTGGAGTATCTTTTTTTGTTTTGAGTTGTCCTTCTTTTTTTTTCTTTTTTTTTTTAGCTCAATTTTGGCGTGGAATTTCGTGAGAAATTGAGAATTCCTTTTTTGGGAGAAAGCTGTTTGTATTATTATGCTGCATAGCATATCTTGTTTCCGTTATTTTTGTTTTTACTTTTCTGTTTCCTTTTTTTTTTTTTTTAATTTAATTATGCATATGTGCGTTTTTTGGGTGTGCATACACGTGTGGGAGTGATCATGACTGTCGTGCCCTGGTGGTTTGGGAGTTGTGCGATCGTGAAGTAAAAATCGCGGCATTCTTTTTTCGCTTTATTTTGCTCCTTTGGTCGTTGCAAATAAGATCCTTCAATGAATGGAGGGGGAGTGTGTTCTTTCGAGCGAGTGAAGACCATCGGCTTAGGGAGTGTGTTCTTTCGAGTGTGTAAAGACCATCAGCTGAGGGTTGTGCTCCACTGACTTACTTCGGTGGACCGCATCTGGCTTGCAGTTTCTTCACTGCAGATTCACAAACGTTTTCTTCACAGTAGACAAGGCTTCATCTTCACAGCAGACAAGGCTTCAATGCGGATTCACAAACGTTTTCTTCACGATGCACGTGCGGTACTTTTCGGCGTTTTTCAGTTCAGCAGGTGGGAGCGCGTCCGGCGGCGGTTTTGACGTTCATCAAATTGGCGGTCCCGTTGCCCAAGTGTTCCGTCAAAAATGGTGCAATGCGTCAGACCAGAATTCTGGGCGAGTTGGAAATGAAGAGCACGGTTTTTCTGGTCATTTGGGGTGTAAGCAGCAGCCAACTGGGGTGTAAATTTGGCAGCTCTGGTTCCCGTTCTCTGGGCTATTGGGGCGGTAGCCCGCTGTCGGGTAGGGCACATACCGGAGCCGCGGTTACAATCGGGCAGGAGCCTCGGGTCTCTTCATCAGTGGAAGGTGGTCACCTCTGGGAGAAAAGAGTGTAGAAAGAGGAAGGGGGGGAGGGGGGGCAAGGGACCGGCAAGAAGGGCGCCAATCATTGAAGGAACGGTGAGACATGTGCGTGACGAATGAGGAGAAAGTGTCGGTAGCTGCAATGTCGCTGCTGCGTCATGCCCGACTGCAGCGATTTTTTTTTTTCTGTTTTTTTTTTTTTTTTTTTTTGGAGTTTAACTGCTGTGTAATGCGGACTGCAAGGAATGATACTCGCGCACGAAACACGTACCCCCGCACATGCAATACCTACTCCCGTATGTGGTGCGGGGCGAATGAGGAGAAAATGTCAGTAGCTGCAATGTCGCTCCTGTGGTGGTTATTTACTGGACATGGGAAGAGTGTCTGCATAGAAAGAAAAACGACAAGTGGGGAATGCAAGTGGAAAAAAGTTCAATGAAACAAAGTCGAAAAAAGAAAAAAACGCATAATATAATATATGTTTTTTTTAAAGGCTAATAGCCTAATTCCTTAAGCCCAACCAATTCAATTACCTGTCAAATCTGGACAGGACGGCCTTTCAGGGCTTTTTTTATTGTCATTATAATATTACGGGGAACCCCGTAGCAGCCACATCCGTGCTCAAGCCTCCAACGAGGGAACATGCGGGAGCTGCACCCTCATATTAAACCACCCGTATACGCGCCGCAGCCTCAGGCTGGTCGGCCAAGGGAAGGCCCGGTCGTAGCGCCAAGGCCGGGCCCCGCTTCTGTAGGGACGACACATGATCAAAAAGAAAGAAGAAAAAAAAAATGAAATACACAAACAAACAAAAAAAAAACGGGAAAACAGTTGAAGTCGTGAGAGAGAGAGAGAGAGAGAGAGAGAGAGAGAGAGAGAGAGAGAGAGAGAGAGAGAGAGAGAG